GCTGAGGTGATCTTTATACCCAAAGTAGGAAGGAAGGACTATTCATTGGCCAAGTCCTATAGGCCGATTAGTCTAACCTCCTTCCTACTGAAGACTATGGAAAAGATCATAGACCATAATATAAGGTCGACGGCGCTGAAGAGTGCACCCCTGCATGCTACTCAGCATGCATACAGAGCGGGAAGATCCACCAGTACGGCTCTGTACCAGTTGACCTCGGAGATAGAGAGCTCGCTGGAGAAAGGGGAGGTGATGATATGTGCCTTCGATAATACATCTCATAAGAGTGTAGCCAGGGCGATGGAGAGAAGAAATGTGGCAGCACCAGTTCGCAGATGGATAGAGGCCGTGCTGCGCACCAGGAYCGCCAAGACCAGGGTAGGTGGAACAACGATCGGTCTGGGTGCGACAAGAGGCTGTCCACAGGGAGGTTTGCTATCACCTCTACTATGGAGCCTTGTCGTGGACGAACTATTAGCATTGCTAACTGACAATGGGATCCGCTGCCAAGGGTATGCGGACGACATTGTGATAATAGCAAAAGGCAAATTTGAAGATACTCTCTGTGACCTAATGCAACGGGGTCTAAATTTGGCAAAGGGGTGGTGAAGGGGAGTGGAACTAAACATCATCACCTCAAAGACAACCGTAGTCCCTTTCACAAGGCGCAGGTCCCTACCCGGCTTGACGCACCTCACACTTGGTGGCAGAGGGATCGAGATGACTAGCAAGGTTAAATACCTGGGTCTTACGATGGATTCTACCCTGCGGTGGAAGCAGCATGTTAACCATACGCTGGTCAAAGCAACAAAAGCGTTAAAAGCCTGAGGCTGTAAGCCAAAGATCGTTAGGTGGTTGTACACCATGATTGTGCGACCGATAATGACATACGGGGCGGTGTCCTGGGCCTCCGTAGCGTCGCAGGCTTCGGTGGTAACCCAACTACCGAAGCTTCAGCAGCTAACATGTGTTTGCATGACGGGCGCTATGCGAACCTGTCCGACGGCAGCTCTGGAGGTCCTGTTGGAACTTACACYGCTCCATATAATGATAGGTCAAGTAGCCAAGCACTCACTTCTGCAGATAACAGCAGAGGGATGCGGCAAAGGCAAGGTAATCTCGTCGCAGATGATGGAGAGGATAAGTGGCGACATTCCTATAGTCCTCCTCCCAAAGGACGGCATTACAAGAACAACTCACTTCTCGAAAAGGTTTAAGGTTACCCTCGGTAGCAAGAGTGAGTGGAACGACCCCACTCTTGATCAAATGCTAAGGGATAGCACATTGAGGTGGTGCACCGACGGCTCGAAAACGTCAGAAGGAATAGGAGCGGGTATTGCAGGTCCGCGTACCAAGCTCTCCATTCCGATGGGAAGTTTTCCGAGTATTTTTCAGGCTGAAGTCTTGGCTWTAAGTCGGTGTATAGAGATAAACCTCCACCGCAACTATCGCAACGAGCGAATGGCTGTACTTAGCAATAGTCAAGCGGCATTAAAAGCGATCTCCTCCTACGAGATCAAATCGTTATTGGTGCAGGAGTGCAAAGAACGGTTGAATAACCTAGCTGGAAAGAACCAGGTGCACCTAATCTGGGTGCTCGGTCACAGGGGTATAGCGAACTGGCTGACGAGCTAGCCCGCTCCGCAGTCTCCACCAATATGGTTGGGCCCGAACCGTTCACTTGGGTGGGTCCCTATACTTTGAAGGAGCTGCTCCGCAAGGAAGAAAGAGTGGGCAGGGAAAAGTATTGGCAGCGAGCGCACAGTATGCGTCATGCCAAGCTGCTAGTTGGGGGGTACAACCTGAAGAGGTTCAAATCGTTAATAAACCTCCCAAGAAACAAACTCAGGATGCTGGTCGCATTTTACACCGGCCACTGCAAGCTGAAAAGGCATTTAGCTAACATGGGCCTATCATCTTGCGCCAACTGTCGGTTTTGCGACAGGGACCCTGAAACCCCGGAGCACCTTGGAAATTAACATCGAAACCATAGCCAACTTTGCTCACAATAATACACAACACCATTGTTTTCGGTTCAACTTTGCGAAAGCTAATTTTAAGAAAATTAATCTCGAACTTAAATTAAAAAATAGAAAATCTCGTGCTTTTAACCTTTTTAAAACAACTAGTCAGCAACTAGACTATTCAAAATATTCTACATTGCGTCGACAATTTGCTGAACTTAACAAAATATGTTATAATTATTATATAAATAAAGTAAAAAATAATATTATACGTAATTAAAAATTGTTCTATGGTTTCGTCTACTCCAAACGCAGGATTTCTAATTTTCCGTCCGCTATGAAATGTAAGTCTAGTATGTAGAATGACAATCATTTAGGTCCAATTACTCTCAAAAATGTCCAAAAAATGTTCCGAATCAGCACAAGCTATGTCCGATTTATTTCATTAATGCACCTACCATTTCCGAGTATCTTATATCAGTTAAATATATTAGAACAATCATACAATTATGGCCCAGATATGATTCCTTCGTGTTTTCTTAAGAAATGTGCCAAATATATATACCAACCCCTAACAAAACTATTGGATTCATCTCTTATGCAAAGCTTATTTCCATCCATATGGAAAAACTCATTTATAATTCCTTTACATAAGAGTGGATTTAGGTCATCTATTGAAAACTATAGGGGAATAGCAAAGTTGTTTACCATAACTAAACTTTTTCAAGCAATTATAACAATTATAACAAATATATACAATAACTAATTTGCTTGAACTTGAATCTCATGTATCAACAGGCTTTAGGGAGAATAAGAACACTGATGTTATATACACAGATTTTAGTAAAGCTTTCGATAAAGTATCCCATTCAATTCTTTTGAATAAACTTGATCTTCTTGGTTTTCAACCAATATTGTTTGTTTCTTATCTTATCTATCTTATTTAACGATAGCTTTTCTGACATAATCAATGTTCCTTCAGGTGTTCCTCAAGGTAGCCATCTTAGCCCAATTCTGTTCTTGTTATTTATTAATGACATATCATCTGGCGTTAAGTTTCCAAAGTTTTATTATATGCTGATGATGTAAAACTTTTTAAAACGTATACTTCAAACAGCGAAAGGTGTCAGTTGCAAACAGACTTACACAACCTAGTTTCTTGGTGTTATAGAAATGACATGCCATTGAACCTTAAAAAATACAAAACGATGTGCTTTTCACGTAGAGCTGTAGACCCTACTTCATACGCAATGCAATAATGTAGGTTGGGGCAAGTATGCAGTTTTGTTGACTTGGGAGTAACTATGGACCCCAAACTCAATTTTAATCTTCACACATCTTCCATGCTTTTTAAAGCATAGCTTACCACGAAAATTTTTTTTACATCTATGGTGAGGCCTATATTAGAATATGCTTCTGTGGTATGGAACCCTAGTTACCAAGTACATTCAGATGAGTTAAAGTCCGTTCAAAAACAATTTTTAGTTTTTGCCTTCAAATATTTGCATTGGGATTCCAGTTTAAATCTTCCCCCTTACACTAACCGTTTAAAGCTTATAAATCTCCCGACAATCGCTAGTCGTAGGGATATGCTTGGTATACTATTTCTTGTAAAACTCATCAATGGGTCAGTCTGTAGCCCATCTCTCTTGTCTGATATTTATTTTAAGATTCCCGCTCGCTCTACCAGGCAGTTTAGACCTTTACTTTTAAAATTTTCTAGAACAAATTTCGAGTTAAAAGAATCATTCCGCCGTATATGTCATGATTTCAATTCTCATTCCAGCACATTTAATCTAACAGACCCACTTTTTACCATTAAAAAATATTTTTTTCTACTCTGAACAAGTAACATTTAAAAATTATAAACTATAATTTTAATTCTTAATTTTGTCGGTTGAAATTTTTGTTTCTGTAGCTGAGCAGCTTAAGATCGCAACGCTTAAAACTCTCTTGCCTTTTATGACTAGGCTATTTCCGCTCGTTCGCGGATTGCGCCCCTCGTGTCGGTTGGGCGGGAGGAGGGTAATCGTTGGGTATTATTAAAAAACTCAGAGGAGGGTTATATAATACAATCAAAATATATACTAGAAAAAAAGTTAAGATCATCTGATAAACAGTGAAAATTTAAAAATGTTTGCCTCTATAAAACGCAATCTAAAAGAGATGAGACGGCTTAGATTTTAATCCTAACAGTTTTGGAAATAATTTTTTGCTATTAAAATAATCAATGATTTGATACGGTGTAAGTTAATAGAGGTCTTCTCTTGCACATGCAAAACCTTTGCACGGTGCACGAATTGCAGATATTTCCTTTTGGTGCACCGGCACAACAACAAACACACGCAGAGAATATTTGCAGTGACTGTAAAATATGTCAGACCAAAACACATGTTTATTCTCGTGCAATGACACGTAAAAATATAATTTCAACCCTGTGCTAGCTCTCATTTTACTTGCATACATATTTTGACGTTAAATTGTTGAGGAGGGTAAATTTTAAATAAATTTTATAATTTCTATTTAAATAATAAAGGTTTGTTACAATTTGTTAAGAATTAATGCAGAATGTGCGCCAATTCACAATAGACATAACATGAAAATCCTTCTTTTATAATTATGTACGTTGTATTTTTAATTAGTAAAAAAGTTACTCTAAAAACTGGGGAAAAATTTAGAATAGCATCCCCGGATTTTGGGAATAAAATTGGTATCACTGGAAAGGTGACGTTCTCGGCACGATTCCGATTACTTTGGCGGAGGGGTAAAAACCGAATTTCCGAATTATTATAATGTGCACTGCAAAAAAAATTTTTTCAAAGCGCCTGCGTAGTTTTTAGAATTTGGCACATATTTGAAATTTTTATGGATTACATTGAGATATTACACTATCATTCAATTAACATATTACCTAAAAAAAACCGATATATGAGAATTTTAGTTACTTATATTGCAAACACATAATCGATTCTTCAATAAAGTTAGAATGGCAAGTGCAGAAAGCATTAGTTAACGAGAAAAAGAGTTTTATCTTACCAATAGACGACAGCCCATGGGAATCACTTATCTTTCCTACACTGGAGTTGATATTTTGCGAAATTGTTGGTTGCTGCATTAATTGGGAGGAAACCTGCGAAAGCGTTTGCTGACCCTGGCCTTGAGGTTGCTGATTAAGCATCATAACCATTAAAGACAAATTGTCTTCTGAAAACAAACAATCCACAGCGCAAGTAAAAAAAATAATATTACAAATCCAGAAATAATTTCACGCACATAACACTTTCAAATATACGGAGCTTTCAACGAAATTTCAATCATCAAATACAAACATTTAACATTTCACTTAGAACAAACCTATTTATATTGAATAAGGTTGCCGAATTACTACAATAGGGCGATAATTCATCTAAAATTAGGTATAAGTTATCGGAAAAAACAGTTCCGTCCCTAGATCTTCAATATGGCAAACCGAAATAGAGGAAATGCAAATTGTCAGTCCAATAATGAACTCTTCATAGAAAAACGAAAATTGTTGTGACAGATTCAATTGAGACTAATGAAATTCAAAAATGCGATATTATTTAATATTTTATTTAAATTCGTTATGTATACGATGCAATAACTAGAACTGATATGAGATGAGCATACTTTTTTCGGGAATGAATTTGAATGGTGCGGCAACAAATGTTCCGTTCTCTGGTTGTATGGCATGATAAGTGCAGTTAGCAATTTATAGCCTTGACATACAGCCATGGATAATATTATAAGAGGGTTCGAGAGAGAGCTGTCAAAATTCGCAACAGAGATAATGAGATGTTTAACTCCTCTCTCACTGGAAGTGAGAGAACAATTGCTAAACGTCAAAACCACCTAAACTTTGACAGTTGATCGAGTTCAGGAGGTTTTGACGTTTAACAATTGGAAACGAGCGATGGCCAGATTGAAATCTTAGCGAAAAAATACGCAAGCGGAGGGATTTGTTGCATCGTTCAATACCACTTGTAAAAAATGTAAAACAATGAAAATTAAATCAATTTGTGAAATTTAAAGGTATTTGATGGAAGGTTTTGTAATTTGAAGCATCATAGTATTATTTTCAATGGAAAATGATTAAAAACATTTAATGATTGAGAGCTAACAACCTTAAATCCTTTTAATGGGTATTGAAAGGTCAAAAGTCGGTTGTTCTAATATACCTTAAAAAAATTTAAATAGTTTCTCCATATAATAATTGGTTGTTTTATTTAAAATGCCCAAAAAATAGCTTTTTTTCTGATCTGGCCATAATGGAAAATGTCATAAAAAACGCTAATTTTGAGGCGCTCTCACACTGGAATAAGTTTAACATCCCTTTATTCCTGTTCGCATTTTTTATAACATTTGCCAATGATGCCACTGCTGAAAAATATTAAATTGGGTATTTAATAAACTATAGAAAACACTAAATCAAACACGTTGAAAATGCGTACATATATAAGTGCAAAATCATTAATTAATTTATATAAACACTTATTTTGCCAAAATATGTTCGCGCAGTTCAATGAAATTTCATTTCACACTAATTTCGTCAGGTTAACTTCTGGCATTCCGCCTTTTCTGAAATCAACTGTCAGAAATTCCCTGATCTCCATCGCTGTCAAATAATCAGGGAACGCGTTTGAAAGAAAAAGAAAGCCAATGCTAAAGCCTCGTATCATATTATCCATGATACAGCAGCGTTATTCCGGAGTAACTGCGCACTTAATCATACCTAAATTTTAATATAACCGATGGCAGCTATTCGAGTTTGAAACTTTCGCAAACAGAAAACTGTCATTTTAATTTTTATAATATTTTCAATAAAATTTAAAATGTTTGATTTTTTGCGATGGTGTGCACACATGTATGTTGTTATTGTTATAACGGTTATCAAACCCCGTTAGGATGGTAAGGGTTATCTGTGTTGTCGTCGATGTCATCTAACGGAAGACCAGGGAACGTGCTGTTTGGACAGGGCTGGACCAAATGGAAAAGGGTGTTACATGGGTAGGGTTGGTGGAGCATGCAAAGAGGTGACTAGTGTCATGCGGAGACTCATTGGCCGCAGGACATACGTTGGGTATGTCAGGGTCTATTCTGGATAGGTAGGAGTTTAATCTGCTACAATATCCACAAAGAAGCTGCACAAGGGTCACACTTTTCTCGCGGCACCTCAACTTCTTCGTCTGCAATATGTGGCGATTGGACTCTAAGAACGCCATTCATTGGAAGAGAGTGGGTGAAGGTKTTACACACTAAACTGTAATTGGCGGTCAGAGCTTGTCGGAAGTTAGTTGCGTCCGAAATCTGTTCGGCGTATTGCTCAATGTCGTCGACGTAATTAAGAAATGACGTCTTGATGTTCATAGGAGATGGTTCCATTCCAAGCAGGTGACTGCAGGGATGATTTCTGCAAAAGCTACACAAGATTATCTTGCTCCTTCTCGAGTTGAGGCCTCTTACCTCTCCTCTAATCACCCAAGGTTCCTGGATTAGGAGGATGACCAGGTTATCCGAAATTAACATCTTCACGATGACCGCCGAGGCTGCCGATGCGTGATGTAGGTTCACCTGAGTCATTTCTATGCCGGCTCTGGAGCTTATAATATTGGATCGATGAGAGACAGGTCCTCGTCCTCGATCTCTTCAGCAACCTGCATCTCCAGCCTTTCCAGAAGGTCTTGGGTGGATGGCAGCATGCCTTTCTGCTCATTGGGGAGCTCGTTGCTCCTGTTTTCATCCGCGGAGGCGTCGCAACCTGCCTAGCCGAGATGGGGTCGATGGGGGACTCGTTTCGCTCTTCCGAAACCACAGCGGCAGTCGCCTCATGCGCTGCTGGGCGGGTTACGGGTGGAGCCGGTGGTACGGTCATCCCCGTCGTAGGTTCTTGGCTCGCCGCGGACGTTGCCTTGGGCCTCCATGGCCTCACTACTATTTTGCCGAAGTGGAAGTTCAGCCCGAATACCTTTTGCCTGATGTATTTATAGGATTCGTCATCTATCGTTATGTTGAGGTTCCACCCTGAACCCTCAACACTACTTGCTACGACCTTCCACGCCGAGGTACTAAAGCCCTCGTTTTGGTTTCTCACTAGACTAAGCGCGAAGTCGTAGTTCTTATCCGCACTTCTAGGAAAGAATGCCACCATTCCTTCAGCCAGGTGGCCGCCCTCTCATCCTGACAGTCGACCAGCAGCATACCGCCCTTGAAGGAAATGCCGCTAAAGGCGCCGGTGTAACCGTCGCCAATAGATAAGGCATTTACTAGGCAGTCCGTCAGCTGTTCGGACCCTAGGACCCCCGCCGGGTAATTGCCTGGCAACGCTGCCATCCTGATGCTCCTAACGGCCTCCGAGTATTTATGGCTTGCATAAATCGGCTGCTGGTTGGGGTTGGAGCGCTTTCCACTGGCTTCCTGTGGTCTATCTTCACATATTCTTTTGGGCCTTGGTGGCTAGTGAGGAGTTATTTGGCTCTTGGGGCGCTTTGTCCCTCCGACAAGGCTGCTTGAGCTCGGCGACGCTTCCGATTGCTACGTCTTATTGCAGACGAACCATTGAAACCTGCACGTCGTGCACTATCATCATCATATAGTATTTATAGTATTACTGTACTGTGTATATTTTTATTCCTAGTATTCGACCGTGTCATCGTTTACGATTTCGTTTATGAAGGGTTTTACGAGACACATGTCATTATACAGTTGAGTTCTTAGGGGTTCTTAGGAATTTTTGGGGACTCAACTGGCAGTAGCGCAAGCTACAAGTCATACCAAAGACTAAAACTTGGTACCACGGGGAGCAGTCAGCCCTTGGAGGAAACTCCAATCTGTTCATTGGATTTTTGCCTAAATGCAGGAAGGGCACTAGTCCGGTGTGGAGGTTTTAGATGGGCCTCGTACCCAACCAAGGTGGCTAGGGTGTGCTTGTCCACCCAAACCAATTGGATGCAAAGTATAAGTATTTGTGCAGGTGCATACACTCGTGCTTTGGGGCGCTGATCAACGCATTGTTTTGATCTATTTGCTTCTAACAATTGAAAGCACCGTGGGGTTAGGCCTTCGCAGGCAGGAACTCACGTAAAACCACAACGGACTCTGCTCCTACTCAGAGCCCGCTTTTCAGCTGTCTCCAGTGTCATGCCGACTGGGAGGCATCTAAGGTACCACTTGAGAGTGGATCCACTCATTCTCGCTCTGCGTGGGTCATCGTGACCTCCTGGTCGTCCTGGCTCCGGGGTACATGGAATGTTCCCTCGTTGCCGTTTCCTTTTACGTTGACCCCATGATTCCACTTTTTTKAAACCACCCTCCTCTCCGCAGTCGATCCTGCTCGAGGGGGTTGTGGGGGTGGCGTTCGCGCGATTTATCGTGGTCGCGGCTGACACACTATACTATCGTACGACCGTTTGGCCCGTATTGTGGGCCTCCCGGACTATTCTTAGGAAGGGGAATCTAAAAGTTCGCTGCGCCAGAGCCCCTTGACGCAGTAAGGCCACCGTTACTTCCCAAGGCGGCCCTTTGTTGGGAAGGCTCCGTACGAATACAGCCGAATTTACCTCCCGGCTGCAAATCATGCAATGGGCACGGGTCGCATAACACCCTTGATTAGGAGGTGGTAGCTCTTGGTTGCCGCGCACATGCAGCCTCTGCCAGCCTCCAGTTGGTTGGAGATGCCGTACTGTGCTGCGGTTTAAGCCCATCCACCACGACAAGGTGCCCACCATTCGCAGAGGTGAAAAAATAAGCACACTTCGTGATTTACTTAAAAAATACAATTTTAAATTAAAAAAGTAACTAGTTTTCATTCAGAAGTAATGATATTAACTTTTTATTAGTTTAATATTTTATTGATAATTCCTCGTTATTTAATATTGATCAACACCGCTTTGGCATAGAATCAAATAGGTTTTGGCAGACGGAAACTGAAATTCCATTCCATGAATTTTGAATAAGTTGAAAAAGCTCTTAATTATTACTTGGGCACTTTTCTCTTAACGACGCTTTTACTGTATTCCACAAATTTTCAATGGATTTTAGATCCGGCGACTGGGGGGTCACTCCATTATTGACCCTAAACCACTCTTTTGTACACTTAACCGTTCTTTTAGGGCCTTTGCACGTTCGTCGCACGTTCAACAAAGGCACTTATCTTGGGTTTCAGCTCTTTAGATTTTCCTTAATAAGTACTTTGCGAATAGTTGATGAGTCAACATCAATATTCAATTCACATTTTATAAGTCTTGACGAAATAAATGGATTTTTCTTAATACAGCAAACTATATTTTTTTGACAAACAACGCTATTTTTGACTTCCTGTCGCGGGTTTCAATCTGGGGAACCCATTTTACTGCTTGTTCAACCAGT